GTTATAAATATTGATATGTGCAAAATTTAAAGGAAAATCGAACATTTATATTCAATTTTATACGAAATCATAAATTTCGGTAAATTACATATTCATGTCAGATTTCTAGTTAAAATAAATATTTTGATACAGCAAGTTGTATAGAATCGCCGACTTGTTTCGAAAGTTATGACAGATATAAGTATTGAAAATTGTGACCCTTTGATATCTACCATCTTCACAACATACAGCGTGAGATGAAAAAACTGCAACGAACTGCTGTCATTTCTAAGCCACTTGTCCGACAGCTGTTAAAATTATTCCATTGACCGCTGCTCATTATATTGTTTACAAGCTTACAAAAGCATTTTGGTGAGAATTTTGCAGAAAAAAAAATTATTCGTAATGGAATACAAGCGGATAGTGTGATTTCTTTATATTAGAGCACTCCAGCATTTAAATGTGAGTCTTTTGTGTCTCGTACCATCGCTCGTTACCATGATACTGGTAGCGTAGCCCAACGTCAAGGAAGTGGACGGAAGAAAACAGCAACGTCTGCAGAAATGGTTCGAAAAGTAAAGAAGCTACTTGAACGAAACCCGCGTCGCAGTGATCGAAAAATGGCTTGTGAGCTGAACATATTGCCTTATTCCACTCTGCAAATATTGAAAAATGAACTCGGGAATAAGCCATTGAAACTCCCAAAATTGCAAGAACTTACACCGCAACAGAAAGAAAATAGACTCAAAAGAGCTAAAGAGTTGCTTCACTTGACCGAATGTGGTGAACTGCCGAATTTGGTTTTCTCCGATGAGAAATCATTCGTTGTCCAGCAGTTTGTAAACAAATATAATGATCGTGTTTACTTGCCAAAGAGGTCAGCTGAAAATGTGCACATTCGATTGGCCACCAGAACTTAAGCGCCGGCCATGGTGATGGTGTGGGACCGCCATAGCAGCCGATGGCCGCTCTCTGCTCGTATTAATCGACCGTGGCATCAGAATAAATGCTGATTATTATCGCGAAAATATTCTGGAGGGTGTATTAAATACTTGGGCATGCAAACATTTTTGTTGGAGGTACCAGAATGAATGGTCAGATCTCTACCACTTTTATAATAGATCTTGTGTTGACAGAAGTATTGAGATGTGCCAAGTCCGAATGGAATCGGATGTTAATTTCGTGTTTTATGAGTTTTGTGGGGTACCAGAAGGAGTGAACGGATATAATCCATCTTCACACGAGACCATGGGTTAATAAAAATATTGTGATGCGTAATTTTAAGACAATTGGATTCTTATATCATATTTTGTAAGAATTATAATTATTCAAAATTTTAACCCTTTATGGGCGAGGTACCAGATGGAATAGTCCTATCTCTACCATCTATTGTGGTGTGCCAAGTCTGAATGGATTCGGATGTTAATTTCGTGTTTTATGAGCTTTATGAATATTCAAAAATTTTAACCTTTTTGTGGGGAAGGTACTTGATTGAGTGAACCGATATTTCCAATCAGGTGCGGACTTAAACCGTAATTTCGATGAGGCACTTTTGGACGTTTCAAATGATATATACCCTCTCTAGCCATATGGCTGAGGGTATAAATACACCGCACAACATATATTATGGAAAACCCAAAAGATTGATTCACCTGACTTCTTAGCTCTTTAGAGTTACAAACGCCTTGTATGTGAAAAAATTGAAAAATTTTGCTAAATCATCATTGCTAAGGTACATGCAGGTAGAAAGGAGTATATATTTTATAAACCATAAAACTGTTACATGGATGATTAACATTTTCATCCCTCTACGACAATGAAGTTTCATTAGGTAATACATTTTGACTGACCTATGCTAATTATTCTTCCAAAGTATTACGAAATTCTCTTCTTGTTTATGATATGTAAGTATTTGAAGATGAGAAGTAGAAAATTTTCTTCTTTGTTCTATTTTCAGCAGCGTTTTATCAACTAACTAGTTTATATGTACTTTAATAAATTACTGTAGACGACTTATATGATAGCATGTGCAACTTATTTGTAGACGTGTTTTATTTGTATGTATGTACATTTTTGCAAGCGTACGTTTAAACAGACTGATTACAATTGTTAAATATATAGTTAACCCTTTTTTGTCACAAAACATTTAATAGTTTCGAATATTTAACAAATAGTTTGTATATTTCAATATAAAGCAGTAATTTGTATGTCTATTGTTGCGATATTATTAGAATACTTAAAACTATTAGCTAACTGTAGATTAATTTGCATTCAGAATCAGTAAGTTTATAATATAAACTAGTGAGAAAAGAAATCTCCACTTATTTTAAATTAATGCTACACGAAACCTAACCTAACTAAAAACAAATATCCCCACATCAAAACCCTGCCCCATCGGCTAAAACTTAGTCAAACTTGTTTACTTCATAGAATATTATTCAATATTTAATAAAAGCCCAGATGTTAAATGAATGTTACCATCGTCACAACAGTTAGACGTACTCCTATCTCTTCAAACGAAAGACCCACTCGTTTTAAAATACTCTATTTTTTACATAATCAATAGTTCTAAATAGGTAAATAACAATTCTAACACAACTAAACAACAATTTAATTTATGCAATGTTTGTATTTCTTCCCACCAACATGATTTTCATTTCCATTTATTTAGCTGATGAAATAAAAACTAACGGGAATCATTCTCATTTTCAATACAAAATAGTTTTTTTCTTTCTTATTGTATATTCACACAACGTAAAAGTTTCGTATTCAATTGCGTGTCATGAATTTATTTGGCAATTGAGAATTGAAGTTTGTTATAGATTTTTGTGGGTGTTAAATGATTGTTCTGGGAAAATAATTTTAAAATCTAAGTTTATTAATAATTATTTAATGGAAAAAAAGTTAAAATTAATTACCTGAACATTTTCTATTAACTAAGATGGAAGTATGATACAACAATTTAAAAATGATTGATTAAGTTAATTATAATTGTAAGCATGGTACATGGTAGAATTAAGAAGGTAAAGTCATGCAATAATATGTTTACAATTTTTTTTTATATTTTGATTTCAACCAACTCCAATATCGACTCAAAATACATCTTTTATGGGGCTTCAGACGAATATAATTTACGGTGCTACAATCGGAATGACAAATTTAATATACATACTCCTTATCTTCTGCTGGATATTAAAAATTTACTATTTTTAGAGTAACGCTGGTCTTGGGAAGTTCAATTCATATGAAAATGAGTTGGTAAAAAATATATAAATATCATATACATAAGATATAGGCTCCCAAAATAAGTATAAAGTACATAACAATTTAAACGATTACTCACCAACATAGATATATATTGTATTCAAAGCACGAATTCCGTACAATGTTGTTAAAAATACTAGAAGAGCGGCTTGATTTGATAAATGCAATATCTATGACACGGGGATTATCGACAAGTTAGCCAATTAAAGGACAAATCATCTTCAAGATACTCTTCTGCGAAATCACTCACAAACTCTGCAACGTGTATAATACAAACAAGTGCATTATCTCCTTAGAACAAGAACAATATCGCTGTAGAGGTCAATAAGTTCATGTTTTGTTACTCTATTGGTGTTGTCATACACATTTTACAATGTCGCCGCTATTTAACTCTGTTTTTCAACGCCATTAGAATTAGTTAAAGGAATTAATAACAAATTACATTCAGTATTACAACGTTATTTAACACAAGCTAAAAAAGGTAAATGTTCTTTAATTTACTGAGGTTTACTTCGTATACAATACAAATCCTTACCTTTTTCACGCATAGGTTACGGTTCCTTTGATCTCCCCTCCATGACCCGGTGTGCATGTGCCTTCCTTGGACCAGATTTCATAATGAATGTTAAGAAATTAGAGAAGTGCGACTAGACAAAATGTAATATACTTGGACTCAGTTCTTAAATATTTAGAAATTGATATGCTTAAAGTCAAAGTTGCAATTAGAATTTTGAGTTATTGTAAGCTTCTTTTTCAAAGCTATGTTAATGATAATATAAAGATCGGTGAGCTTGATATGGGTTTCCAACAAGATTTGATATTTCCACTTCAAATACTACCAATATTTGATATGTAAAAACTTCACCATTTATGAGAATGCATCAACAAAGCATTGCAGTCACATAACATTTTTGGGTCTGGTAAAGCAACTTGTCGGCCCAAAATATGGAAATTGTTGGAAACATTTGAGCTATTGGAACAAGTTTGTGATGTGGAGAATAAAACTCTGGCATGTCACTCAAGAACAACAGAGAATATTGCTGCTATAGCCGAAGTGTTCAAGGAACCATTCCACGTAATTCTTTGGTATTACTAACGTAACGGATATCAAGGTTTCTAAGTTTAAGGCGGTCGATCAACAACATCGTAGTGTCTTTGTTTTTTAGTTTATTAATGGTATAAGAATAATCCGAAACCCTCATGGCTGGTAAGGCTCTACATCATCAGCGAATGACTTTTTGGAGCGGTTTATGGTCCAGCGGTGTCATTGGATCTTGCTATAGAACAAGACGGCGCGACGTGCCACACAAGCAACGAGGACATAGTGCAGTCATTCTGCGATTTGCTTATGCAAAATTTCATAAAAAGGACAGAGTTCTTCTCGTATTGTCTTTTTAGCTGGCATTGCTGTCCATTACTTACGTTATAATCTTATACGAAATAAAACACCGACCGTTTATTAAAAATAGCATTTTTCTTTGAATACAAAAATCATCTTACCAACTTTATAACAGATATTTCTCCATAAAAGATTTTTTTCAGAATTCTTTTCATTATTTGTGCTTTATAATGCTGAAAAACTTTTAATTTCTTCAAAAAGCCAATTGCACAACTTTTTTTTTTGCAAACCAATCTTTGAAACGTTTCTCTTTCATTTCCGTTGAGTGTAAATATCACCAAGTCCAACATAATTACCGCCGTCAATGTTTTTCAAACACATAAACGCCGTTATCCACTTCATTACGCCTTCGAAGTCACAATGTTGTGTAATTGTCATTTATTTACACCTGCTGGGAAAGAAACACATCGTCGTGGTGCTTCTCCACATCGACGACCAATTATTCCAACGTTTCTTTCTTTTCTCCGGTTACGGAAAGTGTTATGGCTTGTATAAGGAACACATTGGGATTGCTAAGAACAAATAACTCTGCGATTGTCCGTACAATTACAATGTCCGCTCAACGTCGTGCCCAAGAAGCTGTGGATAAGCTGAAAGAAAAGAATCCCTACTATGAAAAATATGCCGACAAAATTGCAAAGCTTCAACAAACCTCTCCGGATGAGTTTTTGCAGCGAGTGGACAAGGTTGTGAATCCCATTAAAGAGGGAAAGTCACAGAATAGGTAAGTGATTGAAAAAATATAAGGCTATGGTTACTTAGTTAATGTTTTTTTTTTGTTCTCACAGAACCTATTCAGAATTGTTGAATCCCAAACCCAAAAAGGAGCCAGCAGCTGAAATTCCTTATAAGAAATTGGAGGATATTATGAAAATAGATTTGATTGCTGACAAATCAGCTGATGACATTAAACACATTTGGTTTGAATACCACAAAACCAAAGATGTTTTGGCAGCCACTCTAACTGTTGAACAGTTTGATTCTTTAATGAAACGTGCCAAGGAGCATCCCATATTTTTGTTGCCCCTACCACGCAGTGAAGGTTTTGAATTTATTATGCTACAGTTTGCTAGCAATGCAGTCCATTTCACACCACTTCTGGCCTATCAAGTAAGTTCAATTGAAATGAAAACTTCTGGTAAAAAGTACTTGCTGCGGAGTCATAAAGAACATTTTTATGACAGAAAAAGTGGGTTCTTGGAAGGGAAAATAAACAAGCGTCGAATAAAATGGCACTATAGACATTTAGTAGATTGATGACCAACTCGACAAGGAACGCCCTTGTTTTATTAATTTTTAGGAATATGTGATTACGCCTGAGAAACTATGAAGCCAGGCGTGGAATAACTTCATGACCCGTATTTGAGATCATGGAGGCGAAGAAACCACCTCTTTAATCTCCGATCACCGGTATGGCACCACACATGCTCTGTTCCAGAATCTTCAAAAATATACTAGTATTGCAATTTTTGCAAAATCATAAAGAAAAATCCGTTATCGTAGTAAAATTTTCAACATTCCTGCAGGTTCTGGAACTTACAATTAGTACGAAATCATAATCCCTAGATTTAATTTTTATATATTAAAATAATAACCGACTAACACTTCCTTTTTTCCACTTCAGGTTCATGCTGAAAACGCCCCCGAGTGTCTAACACTTGTCCACTACACCGAAATGCGTGATAAGGGTATCATTTTAATGCGCGGTGAATATGACACCAATGTTTTGAATGGTCAAGAAGCCCAGTGCTTGGCCAATGAATTGCAAATGTTCTATTGCAAAGATGATCCAGCTAAACAACAACTTTTGGAAACATTTACCAAGAAGCCAGATGAATTCAAACATATGGATTTAATAAAAGAAGTTGAAAATATTCATCTTGTTTAAAATAAGATGCTGAACTCCAATAATATAGTTAAATTTGTTAAATGACAATTTAAAAGGATTTGTTTTGGAATATTAATTTATTGGATCCACTTCAATTTTTATACCTTCAGCCATATGGCCAAATCCGCTTTAGGACATTTGGAGCCGATTGAGCGGTGTCCGTCCGTCCACCCTTCTGGTACGCACGATAACTCTCGAAGGATGTAACAGATTTCGCCTAAACTGGGTACATCGTAATATTATCAAAATTCCATCGAGTTTGTAGATGAGCAATATTGGTTCACACCTTCTGGTATCTCCCCCACCAAATTTCTTGAAAGCAATTTATCTCTTAGAACGAAAAAGGATCATCCAATTATGTTTAAACTACAAATTTGTATGGATGCTAAGAAAGATGTGAAAATGATGAATATTGGACCATTCCTAGTACCTCTCTAGGACTGGTCAAATTGTTGAATGACCATAATGCGAAAAAGCATCCAATTCTATCCAATATTTCTACCAGCACAACATCTATTATGAAGAAGAGAAATAGCGGAACGCCCCTTCTGCTACCTCTTTCACAACGGGACAAAATTTTGAATAAGCATAATTATTATAACATGCGTCCGAATTTTTTCTTTTTCAAATTTGACACATTCCAATATTTCTATATATCTGATCACCACTTCTGGTACCTCCCCCCCAAAGAGTCAAAATTTCGAATTATTATAACCCTTATAACATGCGAAAGAAAAACGATTCTCTTCAAATACCTTCTTCAAATTTGGAATAATTGGAATCTTGGTACTTTCCCCACAAGGGTCCAGAGAAAATTTCAGATTCTCATTACACGCGGAACTAATTTAAATATGGAATATGTCGGTCCACTCCTTCTGATACCTCCCCCCACAAAATATGTTTAATTACATTTTTTCGCAGAAACTTGGAAATTGGAATCCCATTCGCTTCAAACATTGCACATCGCAACATTTTAATCAGTATCAGATGAAGTGTAAGAATGGTTTTAGCGGTAAAAATCACCAAGTTTTCAAAAATGTATATTATCCTTCGTCGTGGTTAAAGAAACTATCAATAAACATTGATATACGATTAATTCATTAGCGAATGTTTCTATGACTTAATTTTTGAACCAATTCCGATTATATTTTTATAAATTATTATGTTGGTAAAAATTTCAACACGAGAAAATTCTCTTAAAAATGTATCTTGTGTTAATGCTACATTACGTCTCCTACTAACAGCACACACTTCGCTAAACTCACCCAAAATACAACCCTGTGCACATTGACATGTAAACGATGGCATTGCCAGCATCGAAAAATTCACCAATAAGTCATCATTGCTCCACACGAGAGTCTCCCAGTAGAAGAAAAAAATTCATCATAGAATTGTTTAAGGGCCGCAAAACATTTGTTAAAACTTTTGCAATTTTCTCATAAAATACCCGCATTTTGTTGTATTTAAATCGCCATGGCATCCAGTGAAGGAACAAATAAACCAGAACAAATCAATTTGGCTAATTTAAGTTTGGAACAATTGGTACAAATCAAGCAAGAATTTGAGCAGGTGAGTGGGGTCGCAATGTCTGAGCAGAATAATTTTTATTCACATTTTATGAATGACTTATGTTCTGTTTTAGGAAATCAATGGCATCCAAGAGTCCCTGCAAACATTGTACGATTGCAAAGCCAAATATGCCAGTTCCAAGGAAGCACTAGAATCATTCCAACCCGAATGGAATGATCGTCAGGTTTTAGTACCCCTCACCAGTAGTATGTATGTTCCCGGTCGTATTAAGGATATGGATAATTTTGTTATTGATGTTGGTACCGGCTATTATGTGGAAAAGGTAAGTCTCAAGATGGATAGACGACGGCTGGACAAGGGTTCTGCTTGGGGAAGTGATGTCATAGAAGGAAAGTTATGAGGTTTTACCTTCTGACTCCATAATTAGACATTTGGCAATAGCTTTTTTAAAATTCTTCATAAATCAAGGACCTAATTTTCATAACAGTTCATGGTTGGCTTTTTTGAAATTTTTATTAAAATTTAGGTCGGTATCTGCATATATTAATTAGAGGGTGCTGTTCTTGACACCTCGTTTTGTCGAGATCATCCTTGAAACCCCCCTTTTGGAAATTGAGGCGTAGAATAAAAACACGAAAAAAAGGGACCGATATAGTGAAATTAGGAGAAGGAGGTAATATATCCGAAATTGTTTAATCTCTCTTTCTGATTTAACGTTATCATCTTCATAGATATAAAAAGTAAACTGCGATTTATATGCCCATGATCTGGGTCATTGCATTTGAAAGCTTAGAATAATATAAAAGAATCCGCTTTAACGTTAAGAAGGTGCGACCAACATTTGAAAGCCTGAAGACCTCTGACACTCAAGTTTTAATAGTCACACCCATTAGCATATACAAGTTCTTCATCTTTAGAAGTGGCATCCGGGCTTGTCGACATCGTTTATCGGGTTAAAAGGAAAATGCTGTATATTCGTTTCTAAAACGAAGAACCGGTTAGTCTTTAAAAAGTGGAAGTTATAAGAAATATTGTTGAATGCTTTTACGAAATATTCCGACGCATGTGGCCAAACACTGCCCCAAGCTTCCCATTTTCTTTTTCTCCTAGACCACTTTTGATATAAGATGTTGATTATATTAACTTAAATTTGACAGATCCGTCAAAAGTACCATCTGCAATAGATGCATCCTCTAACCCGGTAAGATAGGCACCCTTTCTGATTTGAAAGGAGATTAACAGACACGTCAAGCTGCTGATACAATAAAATTGACACAGATGCAATAGCCAGGGTCCCTCTAGTCTAAGTGAAGACGACAGTTCTAAAAATTAAGAGTGAAAATAGCTGTTTCCATTATGGTCCGAAAAGCAAAAAACTGTCAAGATTTTCTTAACAACGCTTGAGATGTTACAACAACAAATAATATTCATTCCCAAAGCAGTATGAGTCCCTTACCAAGATACCATAATCATCCTCAATAGAAAAAACTCCAGATTTACCAACATTTTATTGAGGAATTAGCCTGTCTGTCCCTTTTATTATTGGAACAATTGTTTGAAACAAATTTACAAATTACTGATGCTTCAACTTATTCAAAATGGTTTTTTTGTTAAAAAAATCACAAAATCAAATGAGTTTTAATTCAAAAAATAATAATAGCACCGGAGCTTTATATATTTCATATTCAATGACCATTAATTCAATTTGAATAATTTTTGTTTTTTTTTTTTATTATTTTCATTTCAGAACTTGGAGGGCTCCAAAGACTACTTCAAACGTCGTGTCGAATATGTCCAAGAACAAATTGAGAAAATCGAAAAAATTCAAATCCAAAAGAGCCGTTTCTTGAGTGCTGTCGTAGGTGTTATTGAAATGAAACAATTGGCTGCGGTTAAACAAATGCAACAACAACAGCAGGCCGCTTAAATTCGACAATACAAAAAACAACGACATCGATGATTGGACTCGACGACAGTCCAATGAGAGACAACACAAAAAACAATTCACTCATTTCTGTTTATTGCACTTTGAAAGTGTTTTTTCATCAATTTAAAAAAAAAACGTATTTAAAGAAGAGCAAACCAAAATAAATAAAACTAGCATTTAAAATGGAAGTTAAAGAAAATCATTACTGAAGAAATTTATATATTTTATTTTATTGTGATAAAGGTGACTAGTAGGATAACAATAACCAGTTATTAATTGAAATGATGAAGTGATGCGAATGAAAATATAACAACAAAACCAATATTACCACATTTGAGACACATAAAAACTTGTTATAGGAGTCTTTGGCAATTATTTGGCTAGTATTCATGGAGGGAATTCGACTCGAGATGATTGAGAAAATAGAAAGTACGAAACAGAATTGGCATCCGTTTGTTAATTTAAAATTATTTCAACATTAATTTTTCTGCAAACATTTTGTAACTAATTTGTTTAGTTTTTTTTTTTCTAATGAAAATTATTTGGTTTACTTCACATTTATAATATTCTCTTATCCTAAGAAAGAATCGTCGGACATCGTAGTTGACCACGCATATCTTCCAATTGCAAAAAAATATTTATTTTCTATTTCAATTTATCTATTGTATCATTCAACAACTTCACTTTTTCCTCATAAACCGATTTCAATTCACGATGTATCTTGGTCTGAAGCTCATGTTCGGACTTTAATTTATCGTAGACATTTTTCGAAATTTGCAATTTCTTCTCCAATATGGTACATTTATCTTGCTCAGCTTTGACCCACAACTGGGCTTTATTTAAACGTTCCTGCATGTGATTGCATTCGGCAGTTTTCAAATTCAACATATCCTTTGTGACCTGTACAACATCTTTCATGGCATCCACCTGGGTTTTCATGGTGGCAATTTGATGTTCTTGTTGTTTATTCACTTTGGTTTTTTCGAAGAGCAATGTTTTGGCTTTCAACAACAGCTCTTCTTGATCTTGTCGAGTCTTGGGGGCATCCACACCGCCCAACATTACCGACTGCTTTAGGGATTGTTCCAATTGATTGACTTTCCTTTTGAGTTTTTCATTTTCACCTAAAGCTTCCTGAAAAATACAATATTTATATTAAAACAATGCGATTGGCCAAAAAGAAGAAACCACAAAAAAAACTAACCTCCAAATCTTTGCGCAAAGCAGACATACGTTTACGTGATTCCTCTACCAATTGCTGCTTTTCGCTTTCCAATGTGAAAACCATATCCAATAACTCATTATCGTTTTTTGCATGATTTTCGTGGACAGAAGCAGTTGCTCCTTCTACTGCGGTTTCACCTCCATTTGTAACCTCTTCGTTATTGTTTAAATCTTGAATAATTTCACTATTATTTTCAGCCATTTTTTTCGGATTTATTAGAATGTATTAACAAATTATATTAAAAACGAAAATACTTTGCGTGTCAACGATTTCCCTCCCTCTGCGTTTGATTGAAAATGTATGCGATCAAAAGATTTTCACGAATTTTCTCATTCGATTTTCTGTTTGTGCATGTTCTATTTTTAGGCGCAGTTTTTTGGTATTTGTATGATGATTCTGAGACATTTGCCTCTTGAGTTTTCTCTTCTTTGCAGCATACCAACCAACTAGAAGTAGCAGCAGATGGCCAAAGGGGACACCAAACGCATGTTTATATTTTGAAAATTTATAAACATTTTCTCTCGATATTTTTTGTTTTGTTTATTTTTTTCTCCATTCACGTGGGTCTAAGAATGGGGAAGATGCAATGATTTTTTGAAACGAGTTAGAAGGTATCAGTCCGTTTTCTGATAAATATTAAACTAACCACAGCATATAAAGGAGGGAGTGAATATTCCTAAAAAATCGATCTTTTCTTTGGATAATCCCATCCCTTCTTCCAATGAGATTTTTTACTTTGTTAGCAAAATATTTGAACTTTTATAAGGAAGGTATTAGAAAAGTGGGCCGATGTATTTTATTTTCCCACTTGGTTTGATACGAGGATGTTCAAAATTAAAAAAAAATCCAAAGTTTTACGACTTCATCGACAGTTGTGTACCCTCAGCAAATTTCATTTCATTTATTTCATTTCATTTATTTACCTTACAAAGAAATATAAATAAGCCCACAGGGCCCATAACTTATATTATCTATCTACAATACCCTAACATAATACAAATTCAATGATTAATTCAAACTTAACAAATAACATATTAAACCTAATAATTTATCTTAATAATTCACAAGAAGCTCAAACCCTACACCTCGATTCACCATCACCAACTAAACAATAGTCTAGTAGAGCAGTGAAAAAGTGTAGCAGAAACGAGCTAAAAATAAGAGAGAACTATTTTATTACTCACAAAACAGAGTATAAATAGTAACTCACATTATACCCTACAAATAAAATTAAGAAGATAATATAGTGGCTCCCCAGCCCAAACAAAAAGAAAAACCAATAATAAACCGACGCAACCACTACAAAAACAAAGTCTACATATTTAGGAGAAGGTATTCAATTACTTTAACCCTAAACAGATAATTGGTATGGGCAAAAGTACGTAAGGCCAAAGGAAGCTGATTCCACAATCTCACCGCCCTAACCACAAATGATCTCTCACCAATGGAGGACGAAATGTCCGTTTATTTAAATATATTTTGATTAGTGTTATGATTTTCAAACTGCAATTATTGTGGAGGTATCCATTTCATATCAACCACTCTCTTCACTTTATATGAGTTATGTGATAATTGTTGAAAAATTTGCGTATGGTACTAGATATCCTGAATCGAAATATTCCACTTCATCCAATACTGATTAACAAATAAAAAATCTGTAAGTTTGACCGGGCCGAACTTTGAATACCCTCCACCATATGGAACGCATTTGGCAATTTTCAAAAAAAAAAAAATAAAATTCTTAAAAAATTCTGTTAAAATCTTAAAAATACCGAATGTAGCCGTTATATAAGGGGCCATACGACGACGTGGACCTACATAGGCAACTTTTGTCATAATAATGTCGCTAAAATCATCAAAATGCCGAATATAGGGTGGTACCGTTATAAGGGGGCTATACGAAGACGCGTATCTTCACAGACAATTTTCTGTCATAGGCTGTAGTATCCATTACGAACTTCAAATACCAAATTTGAAACAATTCCGGTGAATAATGTCGCTAAAATCACCAAAATACCGAAAATAGGGAGGTACCATTATATGGGGGCCATATCAAAACGTGGACCTATATGGCTCATTTTCAATACCAAAAGTCCTGCAGACATAATATATATTTGAGTAAAACTTTATCAACCTACTTCATTTCGTTCGAAAGTTAGAGTCAGAAGAAATCGACATAGAATATGCTGATCAAGAATATACACGAAAACGTGGACCTCCCAAAAAAAAAATTGTATTAGGCTGTAGTATCCATTACGAACTTTAGTTACCAAATTTAAAACAATTTCGGTGAATATTGTCGCTAAAATCATAAAAATACCGAATATCGTGAGGTACCGTTATGGGGGGCTATACGATGACGTGGATCGGCACAGATAATTTTCTGTCATAGGCTGTAGTATCCATTACGAACCTCAAATACTAAATTTGAAAAATTTCCGGTGAGTAATGTCGCTAAAATCATCAAAATACCGAATATCGGGAGGTACCATTATATGGGGGCTATACCAAAACGTGGACCTGCAAGGCCCATTTTCAATACCAAGAGTCGTGCAGACATAATAAACATTTGAGTAAAATTTTACCAACCTACTTCATTTCGTTCGGAAGTTAGAGTGATTTCCACAGACGGACATCGCTAAATCAAAGAATTTTATGCTGATCAAGAATATATATACTTTGTGGGGTCTTAAATGTATAATTCGAGGTGTTACAGACGGAATAACAAACTTGGAGAGTATAAAAATATTTGAATGTGCCGAAAGGGAAAGGGAAGGGTCCAAAAGTTTCATATTGATATCAGATCCTTTTTTTTGGAAAAATGTTTAGATATACCAAGTTTAAAAAGTCACGTTGACTTGTGTCGCAAGTTGTAAGCTTATTTCTTATTTTATTTCGGTAATTCAAAATGTTGACCCCTTTTGTAGGGGAGGTAATAATAGAAGGAGTGGTCTGATATATTTTATCTTCACAGCTAATTTTTTGCATTTCATCTTCACACCTGATCTGGTGTAAGCAGATTTATTGAGATGTGCGGAATTTGAAAGTAATCGATTGCTCATTTTGCGTTTTATGAATTTCTTGGTTTTTCAAAATGTTAAACCCTTTGTGGGATAGTACCAGAGGCAGTGGGTCGATATCTACCATCTTTAAACCAGATCTTGTGTTAGTAGATATATTGAGATATGAGATATTTGAAGATATTCTAAATCTCTTTTCACATTTTATAAGAGATATAATTATTCACAATCCTTATCCTTTGTGGTGGGGGTACTTGACGGAGTGGGCCGATATTGTCAATTTTAGTAACTGACCTAGCACTGATAAAAATATTAAGAATTGCAAAGTTTACGCAAACTCGAGGGATCCTTTCTTGTTCTATGAGGTAAATTATTTTCTGTGAATTTTTTGGGGGCAAGTACCAGAAGGAGTGGACAAATGTTGCCCGTCTCCGAGCTCGATCTAAAAATAATATTACGATATACCAAGTTCAAACGTAATCGGATATTGCCTTTGAAAGTGATCATGCGTACCAGCCAGCTAGACATACAAACGGACAAACGGACACCCTTAGATCGACTTCACATGTCCTGAAACCGATTTGGCCCAAAGGGACCTAAAACCGCTTTTTTTCTACGAGGCACGTTTTAGCCGTATCAAAAGATATACAGGGTGAGATGAAAAAACTACAACCAACTTCAGACAGCTATCATTTCTAAGCCACTCGTCCGACAGCTGTTAAAATTATTCCAGTGACAGCTCATTATATTGTTTATAAGCGTACAAAAGTATTTTGGTGAGAACTTTTCCAAAAAAAATTATTCGTGATGAAATTCAAGAGTAATAGTGTGATTACTTTATATTTGGCTGGAAAACCATAAGTGGCTATCGTTAGAGCATTCCAGCATTTAAATGTGAATAAACCTTTGGTGTCTCGTACCATAGCTCGTAACAGTGATACTGGTAGCGTAGCCCGACGCCAACGAAGTGGGCGGAAGAAAACAGCAACATCAGCAGAAATGGTTCGAAAAGTACAGAAAAAAAAGAAACTTGATTGAAACCAGCGTCCCAGTGGCCGAAAAAATGGTTTGTGAACTGAACATATCGCAATATTCCATTCGGCAAATATTGAAAAATGAGCTCGGGGCAAAGCCATTGAAATTCCAAAAAGTGCAAGAACTTACACCGCAGCCGAAAGTAAATAGACTCAAAAGAGCTAAAAAGTTGCTCTGCTTGCTAAACAAACAAAATTATCGTGTTTACTTTGCAAAGAGGTCGTTTGACCACCAGAATTCAAGAGCCGGCCATGGTAATGGTGGTGGTGTGGGCCGCCATAACAGCCAATGGTCGCTCTTCGCTCATATTAATCAACCATGGCATCAGAATAAATGTCGCGCCGCCCAAGAATGGTTACAAAATGAGGTTCCTCGCTTCATTTTCATCGAGCCACCAAAATCTCCGGATACCAATCCGTTGGTGTATGGAGTATTTTTGAAACAAGGTTGGCACTAAAAAATACCAAAGTGTCGATCACCTCTAGCAAGTGCTTCGCCGGGAATGGACCAAAATACCGCAGAGCAACATTCCGGCAGCATGTGACGGTTTCATTGGCCATTTGAAGGCAATAATTCGTGCCAAAGGTGACCAATTAGAACAAATCTAAACTAATTCTAACATTTGATGCTATTTCTGAAATTTTTTGCTTTCATTCAAAAAAATTTAAAAAAAATAAATAAAAATTATGGTATTTGACTTTGTTGCAGTTTTTTTATCTCACCCTGCATGTACCATTGATTGACCTTGATCTTTTAATATGTTGTCTTCATATATTTAACAAGTCTTATCGATTTCCCCTTTTTGAAAATGTGCTAAAATCGGCCCAATTACGGTTGTCGTTACTATAGTCGTCGTCGACTTTATGTGCGAGTCGCCCTCGCCGTCGCTTCGATTCAAAAATAGTATTATGGTAATGCATAGAAGCGACATCGACAGTTTAAAATAAAAGTTGGCAACAATAAAAAAAAAACGTTGGCAACACTTCCTTGTTATTGACAAAAAAATATAATTTTTTCCGTATTTTGAATTCTAATTTCGACTCTTTCGGAAAAATAAAAAATATAGTGAAAAAATGAAGATTATAAATGCGTTACATATCTTAAGTTCAAGTGAGGATGAAGAGAAGAATGTATTAGAAGTGCAGCGGCGAGTGTTAAGGCCAACAAACATATTTGCATTGCCTGGCTCTTGATTGTGTTGTTCCAAAAGTTTACGCCGCTCTTTCAAGAGTTCAATAGTTTCTACTTTCCTTTATGACTTTTTACCATTGTTTTTTCTGGGCGATCGAGAA